GTAAACCCACGCTCCTTACTTACTTTACCTATCTTGCTTTGCTTTGCTTTCCCTTGCTTTCCGCGTTCCGATACAATTCTACTCTGTTCTGTGTGTGTTCTATTCTATTTGCGGTTGAGATTGAGTTGAGTGTTGGCTGAGGAGTTGGGGTCAAGCAAAAACCATGCACCGAGTTTGGGGTGAATTGGACGGGTAGGCGTTGCGTCGTGCAACCGCGTTTAATTGCAAGTTCTGAATGCAATATTAATCCCCGTCGGAGGATCTCGACTGGTTAATTGCGGTTGTTGAATCTTGCACAGGACTCAGCGCCAAACTTCCAGAAGAAAATTACCCGGGAGCAAGAGGCGACGAGAGAAATCAAAAGGTCGGTGCTTCAACTCAGCAAATGCAGCGAGGCCCAGTCGCGGAAGGTCCGCACCCGTGTTCGATGGCCCTCCTTTGCTCGTATATGCGCGGTCGCTCGTTCGATTCGAGCCTGGGTCGTGGTCAGCAGTTGCAACAGCATAACTTTTTGTTACTTGTCTGTGTCTGGTCCCGACTTACGACTCGCTGGGGATTCCGACTGGTTGGGCGTGATTTCTGCAGCAGTCTACGAAGTGCCGACCTGCAAGAATAAATATACCAGAGAGAATGAGCTTGGAGCAATGGCCGGCGAGGGAACTCAAAAGGTCACCACTGCCTTCAGCCAAAACCAGCAGTGCAGGGAGGCCCAGTTGCGGAAGGTCCGCACCCGCGTTCCATGGTATTCCTTTGACCGCAGGTATTCTGCGGGGTAGCTCGTTCGATTCGAGTCTGGGTCATAAACGTCAGTCTATCTTCCATAACCGTTTGTAGGTTCAATCCTGTTTCTGGTCACGCCTTCCGGGGAGTCGCTGGGAATTCTCCGAGTCGTTGACTTTGAGTCTTTACGTTGGCGTTGATCCTACGCTGACGAGATTTGTTTAACACCAGGATCTGAACTGCGCTCAACGCCGAGTTGCGTCCCTCGGGCTGTACATATTCAACTTGATGATGATATTATTGAACGAGTTGACAGCAAAAGCAAGATCCAGTCGTGGAAGGTCCGCACCCGTGTTCGGTTCGATAGTTGTCTGCGACCACTTGTATATACGGGATTGCTCGTTCGATTCGCGCTTGGGTCGTATTGCAGACCGGATATGATAGCCTTTTGTTATTTTCTCGTTTTCTGGCCCGAATCGCCAGGTTGATTCTGAGTCCTTGTGTTGGCGTTGATCCGACGCTGGCGAGAGTGTACATGTTCAACATGCCAGTATCTGAACAGCTCTCGAGGCGGAGCTGCTCGGTGCTTACTGAACGAGTGGAGAGGGCAAGACTGTCACCCGGTTGCGGATGGTCTGCACCCGTGTTCGATGGATAATAGTCTTGGACACCGTATCTGCGGGGTTGCTTGTGTTCGATTCAAGTCTGGGCCATACTACTTTGCGAGACATTTTGTTATTTTCCTGTTTCTTGTCGGATTCGGAGTTGTTGACTTTGAGTCTTGACGTTTGGCCTCAATCCTGGGCGTATTGAACGAGTTGACATTAAAAGCAAGACCCAGTTGCGGAAGGCCCGCACCTGTGTTTGATACTGAACAAATTCAGTTCTGCTGATATCTGCGGGGTTGCTTGTTCAATTCGAGCCTGGGTCATATTGTCACATCCAGATAAGCTTTTGTTATCTTCCTGTTTCTGGTCACGACTCGATCGCTGGGATTTCGAATTGACCATTCACGAAAGTTTCTGCGCTGGCAAGATTTTAACCCCAAGATCTGAAGCGCTCTCAACCACTCCAGAATCTCAACCGCTCTCGACGTGAGTTCCTTGGGCTATACATATTCAACTCGCTGATGATATTGAACGAGTGGAGAGGGAAAGCAAGACCCAGTCGCGGAAGGTCCGCACCCACGTTCGGTAATTGGTTTGGAGCGTGAATATCTGCGGGGTTGCTTGTTCGATTCGAGCCTGGGTCATGTTCGACGATCCTTTCGCAATAACCTTTTGTTATTTTCCTGTTTCTGGTCCCGACTCACAACTCAGTCGCTGGAGATTCCAAGTCGTTGGTCTTGAGTGCTTGTGGTCCTGGTGTTGGCTTTGATCCTACACCTCCGTCACTGGGGATTCCGAGTGGTTGATTTTGAGTGCTTGATCCTACGCTTGCGAGGCTTTTCCACGTTGAGTTTTTCCGACCATATTGAAGCAAGACCCAGTTGCGGAAGGTCCGCACCCGTGTTTGATGCGAAGTATCCTTGACCCACAATATTTGCGGGGTTGCTTGTTCGATTCGAGCCTGGGTCATTTCTTTTTCAGGACCTTTTGTTCTTGTTTCTGGCCCCGACTCACGATTTCCAGGTCATTGATTGTGAGTCATTGCGTCGGCGTTGATCCTATGCTGGCGAGATTTATTTAACACCAGTGATCTGAACTACCCTGTTCCTTGGGCCATATTGATTCCACTCCATGATGATATTATTAAACGAATGGAGACTGGAAGCAAGACTTAGTTGCGGAAGGTCCGCACCCGTGTTTGATAGGTAGTAATGACGGTTCAATATCTGCGGAGGAGGAGGATTGCCTGTGCGGTCCCAAATTGAAACAACAGGTAGCCGTACTACGTAGATATGGCGTCTAATATATCTACGTTACGGATGCTCAAATCCCTCGGCCGTTGTGAACAGTCCACACTACCTACCACAAACTCCCGGCCCTTCTAGGCAAGCCTATGAGCAGCGCACTCAACGGGAACCCAGTCATAATCAACCAGGAGTAGGAGAGGAGTCCCCCCCTCTCCGACATAACCCGCCGCCATGCAAAGTTTGCAACAAGTAACAAGTTCCGTCTCGCAGCTTCGGTACAAGAGCACGATAAAATACACTGGTGTCAGAGACAGGTGGCCGCGGCTCGCGGCACACAAAATAGGTGACGTTCGTCTTCCACCGCGGCGCGGCAGAATCGACAAAGCATCTCCCTCTCCGGATACCACTCGGTTACCGTGGCGAAGACCGACACCACCAGGTGCTGAACCGACACGAAAAATTTCGCATTCACCAGCCGCAGGCAGTGCCAAAGACACAGGCAATCGTCTTCAGGTTCCCATCGACGTGGTATGGTACCAGTTTCAGTTACCGCGAGTGACCGAGAATCCAAGCTGACGCCTCAAAGAGTGACGACACAGAGTTTTCGATCGACATCGAGCAGCACCTCGGGGGAACCCAGGTAGAGGACAAATTTGTCTTGCAGGAAAGGCCCATGAAATGCTGTTCGATGTGCTGCAAGCGTTGGACGCCATTACATGCGATTCTGATGCGAAGTAATAGTTGAACAGCGAGTAATAGTTGAGCAGCGGCACACAATTGCCAATGGCGAGCACGCAGCTAGTGATGTGCTGGCCCTGGCTTGAAGCCAGAAGCCAAGCCTACCAAGCCATGGCTTCAGCAAGCCAGGCCAGGCCAGAATACTGGCTTGAGCTGGCCCTGGCTTCTGGCTTCAAATTCTCAAGCCAAAGCCAGGCCCTCAAGCCATGGCTTGAAGTGATGGTATTTAACCCACGGAAGGACGACTGTCTGAGAGAAATTTCTCAACATTTTGAACCTTGTAAGTACTCCTTCCTCAATATTGACCTCTCCTCGATGTTTCTGACCAGGTGGAGTAGTTTCGTCAATTTTTAGTTCAACCAAATTCAGATCAAACTGCGCGAGTTCACACCTCCCCGCTGGAGATGGCAGAATCTTGGTGTGAATTCTTTGTTATGTTCTTAGCGAGCTTCTGCAACCTCAATCATAGTTTTTTTTCACCGAAAATAAACACCTTTTACAGAAATGAACCGTGAGAATATGTGGTGCCGAAGCCATGGCTCAAGCCAGAAACCATGGTTTGGCTTGGCTGGCTTGGGCCTCTGGCTCTGGCTTGAATATCTGTGAGCCTAAGCCAGATCAAACCAAGCCCAAGCCATGGTTTCTGGGCCAAGCCAAGCCAGCACAACACTACGTGACGCAGCAGGCCAAGGAGCCGACGAGAACCCAGAAAGAACAGTCCTTTCAAGTTTCAAGTGGGAGGCCCAATGTGGTGGTCAGATCCGACGCGGGCAAAGCTAAGCATGTGTGCGGGCGGGCAAAGCTATGTGCCGAAGGCAGTGTTGGAGCGAAGATCCCATGTGGTCGCGAAAAGAACCGGATCACCGTGGTCATTGCCCGATACTGCCCGCACGACGCCGAAGAGGACCAAAAGTTGACTATTTGTGCCGTGAAGACAGATGCTTCGACTAAAGAGCGGTCTGAAGCGGCTCATGTGCGTGCCGATGTGAATAAGGAGCCCGTGGGTGAGGAATGAGACTTTTTCTTTGCACAGAGGTGGTCCACTCGACGACTGGGAATAACGTAGAATTTCCGCCGCCCGAAGGTCTGGCATAGTAGTTAATGCAATTGAAGGCTTTTTCACCACCCCTGGTTATCCAGGGACCCCGTAGTCGGGACATCGATATTTCGATGGTGGTAGTCAAGAAGATGGAAGAGATGCGGGGTCGCTCGTTCGATTCGAGCCTGGGTCATATTAGCGATCCGAACACGATAACCTTTTGTTATTTTCTCGTTTCTGGTCACGACTCACGACTCGCTGGCTTTCTTACACTGGCGAGATTTACACTCCGGGATCTGAACCACCCTCACACTGAATTCCTTGAGGCATATTGAACGAGTTGACAGGGAGAGCAAGACCCAGTCGCGGAAGGTCTGCACCTGTGTTCGATATTTCCGGCATACTGTGATATCTGCGGGGTTGCTCGTTCGATTCGAGCCTGGGTCATGTTGGGTGATCCACTGTCTTTTTGTTATTTTCTCGTTTCTTGGCACGGATCGCTGGGTTGGTTCTGAGTCCTGATGTTGGCCTTGAAAGTTGAGCCTACACTGGCTGAGTTTTAATACCAGGATCTGAGCCGCTTTTGATGCCAAGTTCCTTGGGACATATTCAACTCGAGGATATTGAACGAGTGGACACGGAAAACAAGACCCAGTTGCGGAGGGTCCCCGCCCGTGACTAATAATCCAAGATGCTGATAAATGTGGGGTCGCTCGTTCAATTCGAGCCTGGGTCATTTCGCGATCCATACTTGCCGTTTTGTGTTATTTTTCTGTTTATGGTCCCGACTCACGAATCGCTGGGTTGATTTTGCGTTGGCGTTGGCCGTGATCCTTCTACACTGGCAAGATTTAACACAAGATCTGTAGAATCTGAACCATTCTAGACGCTGAGTTCCTTCAGCCATATCTAACTTGCTCATGATATTGAATGAATGGAGAAGGAAAGCAAGACCCAGTTGCGGAGGGTCCGCACCCGCGTTTAAATGAAGGTCAACCGGACGGCTAATATCTGCGGGGTCGCTTGTTCGATTCGAGCCTGGGTCATGTTTGTGTTTGCGATCCGTACCATAACCTTTTGTTAGTTTTAATCCTGTTTTTGATCACGACTCAGTCGCTGGGGATTCCGAGTCACGGATTTTGAGCCTTGTGTTGGCCTGGATCCTACGCCGGCGAGATTCAATACCTGCGCTCGACACCGAGTTCCTTGGGCCATATTAATTCAACTTGATCATGATATTGAACGAGTTGAGAGGAAAAGCAAGACCCAGTTGCGGAAGGCCCGCACCCGCGTTCAATAGGCGCCAGTATTCTTGATATATGCGGGGTTGCTCGTTCGATTCGAGCCTGGGTTATAGGGCGATCCTGTCACGACTCGTAAGCTTTTGGTATTTTCCTGGTCGCGGGGATTCCGAGTCGTTGATTTTTGACTCCTGCATTAGCCTTGATCCTACACAGGCAAGATTTCAACACGCCAGGATCTCAACCGCCCCGGACGCCGAGTTCTTTCGGCCATATTAATTCAATTTGGTAATGATATTGAACGAGTGGAGAGGGAAAGTAAGACCCAGTTGCGGAAGGTCCGCATCCGTGTTCTGTTCTATATTTCTGTACTGCTTCAATATATGTAGAATTACTTCAATATATGTAGAATTCGAACAAGTTGACACGCAGAGTAAGACCCAGTTGCGAAAGGTCCGCACCCGTGTTCAATAAACGCCAGTATTCTTGATCTTATATGCGGGGTCAGCGCTCGTTCGATTCGAGGCTGGGTCATGTTGCCGGCGCTTTGATCGATACCCTTTTTTTGTTATTTTCTTGTTTCTGGTCACCTTGTATCGCGCGAGTTAGTCGCCGATGTACATGTGATTCCCTGGGTCAGCCATGATCCCACGAGCGCAGTAGTCTTGAAGCCCAAGTAATCTGCGGCGACCGAAATTTACGAGGGAGAATGGGGTGAGGTGAGTTGGAAGCAAGAAAGCAAGACCCAGTTGCGGAAGGCCCGCATCCGTGTTCGATTCGATGTTTCCCATGAACATCGCGGAGCTGTTCGTTCGATTCGAGTCTGGGGCATAGGAGGCGACTGTACCCATCCGAGTTTTTGTTTTCGTCTTTGACTCCATTCTGGCCTTGGACTCCATCCTGGCGCCGGGTCGAATATTGTGGGGTGGATGCAAGTCCAGTCGTTGGTGGATTCAGATTAAATTACAGTTACAATTACATGGTAGTGCTCAAAGTTCGAAATCTGGGCAGCGTCAGATAAGCGCTGGATAAAGGGAGGCTGGGAACTCACTCCAGGATACCTCAACGAGAATCCCCTACCCCCACCCCGGGCCTCCGCCGTGGTCCGAGCCGCTACAGCGTCGACGTATTCTACACCGTCCCCCAGTCAGCATTATTGACACTCCGCCGCCGCAAAAAAAAATTCAAGCAAACTCGACACTCACCGTCTTATCCTGCCGCTTACACTCCTCGTATATAAACACCAGGAGGAGGAACACCTCGTCCTCCGCGAGCGCCGCCGGCGTGAGGTGTATGACCGCGGGCTTGGACTTTGTGAATAGGTGTGGGCGGAAGGGTACGCAGAAGCGGCCTGCGGTGGTCTTGCCGTCTTCGAGGGTCGCCTGCGCACGTAGATATGAGATCATTAGGAGAGGAGGAGAGGAGGAGGAGGAGGAGAAGGAGGAGAGGCAAGGAACTGACCTTCCACTCCTCGTGCGTATACGACAGCTCGTACTCCTTCCTCGTCGCAGACCAGCGCCAATACTTCGACCTGCCAGCAAAACCAGTTAATTACTCTCCTTATCTTCTTTATCAACAAAATACAAAGCGTGACTCACTTATTAAACAACCCCCCCTTAGTCCGCCTCATCTCCTCATACTTGCGCTTATGCCCCAACACCTCAAAGCTCCGCTCCTTCCAGTTGATAGCACCCACAACCCTGGACGGTGCAACGCCGGGGAGCGGGTTCTCGTCGCGCAGCACGGTGCGCACGCGTCCCTGGAACTCGAGCTTGGACGCGACGGAGTACATGACCGCGTTGTCGAGCACGGCGCAGATGCGCGCGTCGATGATGTTGGTTTTGTTGTCGAAGAAGGCCTCCATTGCGCGAGGAGGAGGTGGAGGAGGTGGTGGTCGGGAGCAAGGAAGGGTGCGACGGATTGAAGAAGCCGTGATTATGATGCCACGTGGAAGGGCTCATGACTTCTTCGTTGAATTCTTTAAAGCCCGTGCAATAGTCGATTCTGGACTAGGCTGCTCCAGTACGAGGCCATTTCTCTTTCCGAGGCATTGTGGTAAATAAAGCCTCTCCCCCCGTCCAAGAAAAAACCTATCCCACGACGAAGACTCTCCCGAATTGGAATTGAAATCAAACTGGCAGGCTGAATGCAGAATGCTAAATTATTTTATCGCAGCTGATAATATTACAAGAACAGAGTTTTAGAACGAAAATCGGACACACTACCGCGGATTCCCCGCAAATATCGCCCAATCCATCTCCAACGAGTAATTCGAATCCTGGGCCATGGCCATCGACTCCCCACTCGCAGTCCCTATAGACCCGTAACACGCCATCTGCGCCGTGAGGTACGCCTCCAACCCATGCCCGCCATACACCTGTCCCCCTTCTCCTCCTCCCTCTCCACCGCCCTCTGCGCCCCCGTCGGCGCCCCACTCCCCCTCCTGCCCCTGCCCCTGCATCCCCGGCGAAACGACGTAGCTCTCGCGGAGGAACGTCTCGAACGGGTACGGCGTGCCCCACTCCTCCGGCACCGGCGCGCTCATCATCCACGACTCCACCCCGAATCCGCCTGAACCTGCAACACCGAATTGGAAGGAGGAATCAGGATTAGGATTTGGATTAGCGACCATAGCGCTGGGCGACGGAGGCGGCGGCGGCGGCGGGAGGGGCACGGGCATGGCGTCGGGGAGGAGCGCGGGGAGCGCGAGGGGCGGGGTCGGGAGGCGCGAGGAGCCGGGGTCGGGCGTGGGCAGCGCGCGCGAGCCGCCGAGGTGCTCGAAGTCGGCGTCGGACGCGAGCTCGCTTGCGTCGGCGTCGTGACCCCCAGTGTGGGTGTGGGCGTGGGTGAAGTTGTTGTTGTTGTTGTTAGAGTGGTTGGCGTGGGGCAAGGGGAGGGCGAGGGACGCCTCGAGCGGGCGGGCGGCGGCGTAGGCTGCGCTCGCGCGGTTTCGTAGGCGGCGGAGGACGGCCTGCAGAGTGTAAGTGTGAATGAACATCAAGTAAGTTAGTGGAGGGAGAGGGTATGCACGCACCACACTCCCCTCCGCAAGGAACGAATGCGTCGCCCCCTGCTCGACGAGGTCGACCGCAGCGAGGAGCTCAGCGAACGCCGCGGGCGCCATGGGGGAGCTGGGGCACTTTGATACAATGGAGCCTGCGATGAACTGTATGTATGGATCCCATTGATTAACGCGATGAAGCTGCGGAGAATGAGAGAGAATAACGCACAGCGGCATTCACCACTAACGTAGCCCAACCACCGTCGTCAGCTCACAGCAAAGGAGAAAAGGAGGAGGATAGACACAGCAACGGCACAGGAAAGAAAGAAACATCGAACGATAGAAATAAAAACGACGAAAAAACCCCACTCACGACTCTTCCAAATCGGCCACCACCGATGAAACCGTTCCGGGAACAGCGCGAAGCTGCGCACGTCGGACTTGATGATCATCGACGCGCCGCGGTACGCCGCGAGGAAGGACGCGGCGTACGGGCCTTCGAGGGGGTCTTGGCTTTGCTGGGGGTGGTTTTGCGTTTTGAGGGCGGAGACGAAGGAGGCGCGGTGGATGTAGAGCATCACTGTAAAGCAGCCCCAAGGGTTAGTAAGATGTGAGTCGAGGGTCGAAGCAAGGGGGAACGACGAGCGGCAGTTGGAGGAAGTAGGACGGGGAAGAAAGACAGACGCAAGGAAGGTGAAGTGGGTGGAGTGAGGGTGAAGAGAAGGACAAGACCAGTATAATGTAAGTCGAAGGTCGAAGCAAAAGGGAACGACGACGAGCGGCGGTTGGAAGGAAGTGGGACGGGGAAGAAAGAGAAGAAAGGTGGAGTGAGTCGAAGGTCGAAGCAAAAGGGAACGACGAGCCGCGGTTGGAAGTAGGACGGGGGAGAAAGAGACAAGGAAGGTGGAGTCAAGGTAGAGGGTCGAAGCAAAAGGGGACGACGAGCGGCGGGTGCAAGTAGCACGAGGAAGGAAGGTGGAGTGGGTGGTCGAAGTAGAAAAGCAGGACAGGAAAGACGTACGATTCCCACAAAACCGCGGAATAATATGCGCCCGCACATGCGCCAAAAACGCGCCCTCCTCCCCTTCCCCACCCGCGCCAGGCTTACGGGTTGCATAATGCGCAAACGGCCCCGTCTCCATAAAATGGCGGAGCCGGCGGTCGAGCGATAGGACCTCTTCGTAGGTCGGCGGCGTGGCGCAGCTGAAGCCTTGGGCCATGGCGGCGGTTATCTGCCGTCGGGCTCGTTAGTCAGTACTTGTACTTATTTGGGATGAGGGGGAAGGAAGATGGGAAGGGGAGGCGGAAGCGGAGACGCACCTCCTTCGTGAAGGTCCATTTTGCGTGGAAGACTAGATGACCGCTCGTGAGCATGAAGGGTATAAAGACTACGACGAGAAACAGGAACACGTACACCCCGGCACCCTCCTCCCCTCCCCATCCACCGTCTCCTCCGCATCGGCGGGGAACTGGCACGTAATCTCCTCCGAGTTG